ACTCGTCTTGTATACTTGTTTCGTCTATCTTTTGTCAACCACACGCGATGTGCGGACACGAATAGCACTAACCACCGCACAATGAGACTGCTGACTGACTGGCTCACTCAACTCATGCATGAATCACACGCGCCTCCCACGTGCTGTGTATCCTGCCGCCCGCCTGCGCCACGTCTCCCGTCGCCCGACCGACTTGACACCCCCCACTTCTTCTAACGCCACTTCTTCAAAATAGACTCGCCCAGGCTGAAAAACGACTATGCGCATGGGCCACGAAGTTTCAATCGCACTGTACGTGTGCGCCCGCACGTGGTATTTTGTGGAAGAGCCACACTCAAGGGGCCAAAGAGCTGCATGTGGCTCGCGAGCCGCGGTTTGCCGACCACTGCTATTGACCAAAAGCCTGATGAACAGATGCAAAAATCCTCAAATATTAGTAAATTGAATCCAGTAGTATGTTAAAAAGATCACAAACCACGATCAAGTGGGATTTATTCCTGAGATTAGTTCAATATCCACAAATCAAATAACATGATACACCACATTTAAAAATGATGGGTGAAAATCATGTGATCATATCAATAGATGCAGAAAAAGCATTCAACAAAATCTAGCATCAACCTGGCTGGTTTTGCTCAGTAGTTGGTTGTCAACCCATGAACCAGAAGGTCACAGGTCAATTCCCGGTCAGGACACATGCCCAGGTTGCAAACTTTATCCCCAGTAGGCAGCTGATCCATGATAAATTGATGTTTCTATCTCTCTCCCTTCCTCTCTCTAAAACTAATAAAAACATTTTTTTAATCCAACATCCTTTTATGATAAAAACTCTCAGCAAAGCAGAAATAGCGGGGACTTACCTCAACATGATAAAAAGCATATATGACAAGCCCACAGCTAACATGATACTCAACTAGAAAAAGCTAAAAGCATTTTCCTTATGATCAATGTACCTGTCCAATTTCCCAACACCATTTATTGAAGAGGCTATCCTTACTCCATTGTATGCTCTTGCCTCCGTTGTCAAATATTGAGTTTGAATGGCTTGGATCGATTTCTGGATTCTCCGTTCTGTTCCCTTAGTCTATATGCCTTGTGCCAGTACCAGGCTGTTTTGAGTACAGTGGCTTTGTAGTATAACTTGGTATCTGGTATTGTGATTCCTCCAACTTTGTTCTTCTTTCTCAAGATTGCTGTGGCTATCCAGGGTCTTTCATTGTTTCCATATAAATTTTTGGAGCGTTTGTTCTAGATCTGTGAAATATGCCGTTGGTATTTTAATAGGGATTGTACTGAATCTATAGTGAGTCATCAGCTGTTAAAGTGTGTATACATTTTTTGGGAGACACCCTGGGTATACACACTTTTAATAATTATAAAGGCAGTGTTTGTACTTCAACTGTATTTTCAAACTTCTAGTAGCATTTCAGGATGAATTTCCTTTGTTCAAACCTTAGTCTGGCTGAAAAGAAAGAAACATCAATTGAGCTACCAGCTGTTAAAATGTGTATACATGTTTGGGGACACCCTGTAGATGAGAGGATTAGAATACAGAACCAAAAATCCAGAAACAGATCTAACTATGAAGGAATTTCACACATGACAGGAATTTCTCATTCACCTAATGCAGCGGTTCTCAACCTTTGGGGGTCAAAAGACCCTTTCACAGGGGTCGCCTAAGACCATCAGAAAACACATATATAATTACATATTGTTTTTGTGATTAATCACTATGCTTTAATTATGTTCAATTTATAACAATGAAATTGGGGATCACCACAACATGAGGAACTGTATTAAAGGGTCGAGGCATTAGGAAGGTTGAGAACCACTGACCTAATCCATCTAATGCGTCCTGTTCAGTCAGTAACCACGAGCCACATGTGGCCATTGAGCACCTAAAATACCTAAAATATGCCTAGTCTAAACTGAGATGTGATGTAAGTAAAATATACACCAAATTTCAAAGACTTAGTATAAAAACAAGAACATAAAATATCTCATTAACAATTGTTTAAAATTAATTACATGTAAAAATATTTTTTTATAGAATGGGTTTAGTTGGTGAAATTAAATTTCACCTATTTTTTTTTTTTACTTTTTTAAAATGCAGCCACAAATAAAAAACTTGAGTGGTTTACATTATATTTCTAATGGACAGAACTGCTCTAAGGAAAAATAAAGATAAAGAGTTAAATTTAAAAATAAAAAATACTATACGAGAACCTAGGAAAGTAAATTAGAATCTGAGGATCAGGATGGATTTCTTAATGAGGACAACTTGTCACATGTACACGTGTACGTAGAAATAGATAAAAAGACAAACAACCCAATAGGAAAAGCAGGCAAAGAGCAGGATTGGAAATGCACAGAAAAACAAATCCCAGTGACAAACAAAGAACAAAAAGATACTCTAAATTACTAAGGAAGAGGAAATGCAATTTAAGTGACTTTACTGGTTGGGGGAGTGGCCAACACAGATGATACTGTCGGGGATGTGGGAAAAGGGACAAGCTCACGCACTGCTGCCGAGGGACATGTGAAGAATAACAGGCTCCTGAAAAACCAACATCGCAATACCCATTAAAATTAAAGCTATAGAATACCCTTCAACACAGGAACCATTCTCAGAGTAAGAAATCCACTATACGTATTGACATATGTTCAGAGAATCTGTATTGTAACACTATTTATGCAGCAGCAAAAATTAAAAAAGGAAACTAAGAAACATTCAATAAATTAATAAATGCCATCTGCTGATAAAAGGCTGAAAAATGTATGGTACCTGCAACATAAGTTAGGCAATCATTAAAAACGTTAAATGAAAAATATTCGCAAAATTTTTTACACTTGAAATATCAACACTGGCTCCGTGGTAGGGATAGACTATCTCATAACATGCTGGTGCAGGCATAAATAGGTTCAACCTTATGGGAAGACTCTATTAGACGTTTAAATGTCCATGCCTTTTGATCCAGCAGCCCAACTTCCAGAAATCTATCTTATTACTTTATGGCATGACAATCTAAACATACCTGTGCAAATATATCAAATCATTATGTTGCACGCCTTAAGCTACTACAACATTGTATGTCAATTATATCTCAAAACTGAGGGGGAAAGATATATGTACAAGGATGTTCACTATAGCCTTCATTTAGTAAGACTTGGAAAGAACCTAAATGTGTACTCTAAATAAAATAGCTGAGTAAGTTATGTCTACAGAATAAAATAATAACACAGACTTGAAAAAGAATGAGGTAGCTTGCCGGGAGCCAGTCCATCCTTGCTGCTTGACACAGTCGCTGCAGAGAAGAAACATCTGCACAGCATATGTTTCAGGGGGCCTGGTGTATATGGCATACTGTTCTTAATACGTTTGCTCACCTTCTTGGCGCTATGTGTTTTAACCAAGGTCACCTCTCTGAGAAAGGTTGTTTCCCCAGGTAGGAATTTTCCCCTGAAGTTAGGGAGGGAATAAAACCCCTTAACTAAGTGCCAGGCGGGTAGTTAATCACTTTAACTAAGAACAATCATGCTTAAGCTACATAATCTTTACTCCCTGGAATGGAGATAAGAAACGCCCTAACCTTTGGAATAGAGATTGATAGGATTGGAATCAACTGGTATAAATACAGATGTAACAAGACAACAGGAGACAGAACCTAGAAACAGAACCTAGCGAGAGAACCTGACTGAAGAACCTAGACACAGAACCTAGAGACAGGACTTGGCTGGAGATCCTAAACAGAACCTAGTGAGAGAACTTGGCTGAAGAACCTGGAGAGAACCTGGAGAACCTAGGGACAGAACCTAGAAACAGAACCTAGCAAGAGAACCTGGCTGAAGAACCTAGAGACAGAACCTAGAGACAGAACCTGACTACAGAACCTGGATAGTGAAAGTGCGAGGGCTAGGCCCTCCATCTTGCCCCAGGGTAAGGGCTACGCCCTCCATCTTACCCTGGCCATGTGCTTGGCAAGGAGCTTCTTCCCGGAAGTCTAAGCCTCTGCTAGCCACACCCAGGAACAAGACACCGACTTGAGCCTGGCCAATCGGCAAGGCCACAGCCCTTTCTCCTCCCCTTACTCCAACCCCCTATAAAACCCCTCTCCACACAGAGTTCTC